GCTGCAAAAATAACAGCTTACAGCTCCTTCATGATATTATTACAGGAGCAGGTACAATATGTAGCAAGGGGCCAAAAAGTTCACTAAATCTAAACTATGTTCCGTCTAGGACTAGATTTTTGACAACCAGTCCAGTTATAAGGATTTTCTCTGTACTCTAAGACATGAAATTAAACTTTAGTAACTTAGTGTATTTCGACCAAATTAAAAAAGATTATTTACCTATATTAAATTAACCTTCCTTATTTTGAATTTCTTCTATCTTCATTGAAGACCCCAAAACATAAACCCTGGCCAAATCACTCACCTTCCTCCATTGTTTGCCCTTTGTTGTGCACAAAATTCACTGGAAGTCTCTTAGTTGAGGCTTTAGTGTAATCTCTTGGTGCATTAGCGCACATGTCAACTATGTTGTGGTGAGTAAAAATCTTGTAGTATATGTTAGGAGGGAACTTTTCCTAAGAAATAAAAAGAACACACACATAGAGTCAATCAATTACTTCATGAATGTCTATAAAATGTAATAATTAAGTCTAATTTTTATCAGTTGATTGCCTACTTTTAAGGATGACAGAAGGAGTTTGAGTAACCCTTGGCTCAAAAAAAGGCACTGTCTCAAAATTGTATTGAACAATAATTTTGCAAAACTAGTTAAATGTTGGCCATTTTCCAATGACAGAACATCATTCCATTAGAAAATCATTTGATCAAAGTACACAATGCTGTTCTCAGTGAAAATAGAACACTCAGCAAGCTGGTTGAAATACAGGACTGGAAAAAAATAAGAAACACTCAGCAAGCTAGTTGAAATACAAGACTGGGGAAAAAATACAAAATCTATTATTTTGTAAATTTCACCTTGAGGACAGGATTTATATTAATGACTAACTAGTTTGGAGCTTCTCCCGGTGGGAAAGTGATTAAAAAAAGTTGCTTGTCCAGCAGGAAAATTGTCTTAATCCTGACAAATGGATGACAGCTTTAACAGTATGTTGGAATGGTCAACCTGATACATCTTTACTGATCACTTACTCCTGCCAGCCTAAACTTAATGTGTACCCCTGCTGCAGCATCTAAAAGCTCGGCCTATAAAGAGAAAAAGATAGAGACTGAACATTCAAGTTTAAGTTCAGGTTTGATTCACCACCACAAACTTTACAAAAAAGTAGTTTTCAATTATAAAAGGGGTGAGAAGGCCTCAAAAAAACTCTAGGGCTTATAAATATTAAGAGGTCCCCAAGGCAATTCAGGAGTTTCGACTGCATACTGCTGGGCTTCTTCAGGTGATCATCGCCTGAAGAAGAATAGCAGTAAGCAGTCAAAACGTCACGACCTACATCACACATGACTACATCATGAGACAAACAAAAAACTTAGCTTTTATTGTTATTCACCACGATGAATAACCACAACCTTTTCCACGGAATTCAGAAGTTATTAAATTGTTTATAAATGAATTATTATGATCAGGTAATGAGATTAAAGAGCATGGAAATTTCTGATTGATGGTCTTTTGAATTGTGGGTTTGTTGATTTTTTTTGGATTGTTATTTTGATTTGTTGAGTAATTTGAAGAGAATTGTAAACATCCTCAGTCTCCTTAATTATTACCCATGATTACCTAACATACCTCTCTTGGGTTAATACATTTCAACATTGAAGATGGGTCTCCCCGACATTTGAAGTTGATCAGATCTCTGTAGTATCTGTATACTTGGATGTCCTCAACACAAATTATTATACAGACAATTAATTTCTCCATGGTGTCAATGATGAAAACATTCTGCAAAGTCTTGGTATGTTTATGTAGCAGTTAAATTTTGTTAATAACATAACTGTTACTTCAAGTTAAAAAATGATGAAAACTGACTTGCCCTTGCAAACACATAAATTTTATACAAGAGAATAAGAGGTACTATGGATTAAGTTGAAGAAGAAGACAATTTAGGAAAAGGCATAGGCCAAAGCTAAAAAAAACTTAGAGCCTGATAAGAGCCTACAAATAAAACTGCGACTTGTTCTTGGTCAGGTATCATGCAATCTATTGATACATTATTTTCCTTGGAGGCACACCTGGATACCCGAGGCAACTAGCTTCATTTTTGTTTCCAGGGAACTTGTAGTGAAAACTTTGTTTTCTAGGGAGCTTTCAAGAGACAATGGCAGCTCCGATCTCTGAAACAAGTCAGGTATTCACTCTTTCCCCTACAAGCAGGTCTTTGATTTTTATCAAGTTATACTCAATTCAAAAGAAATATTTTCATCTCCTTACAATGTACCATTAGTAAGCAAGTTCTCTATACTCTTCTCTATACATTTTTCATTGTACTTACAAAGAGAATTTCTCTAATGAGCAGGAGTTTTTTAGTTTGCAATCATTTCATTTATTCTCATTACCTTTCTGTTTGATCCAGGGGTCATACTATTGGGAGAAATTATATACTTATCACTCTTAGGGGGTTAAAGAGTTAAATCAAACCAACAGGACTATAACACCAAAATCTTTAAGCATTTCCCTCCAAAAATATGAAAGTTAAAACTCCTCAATCTCTAAAAACATTTTTAATACCCATGTCACTTCCAGACACAAGATGTTCTCCTTCCCCCTATCATCATCCTTGGAAGTCGTGGTCATCACTACAACTATTTATCAGAATCAAAAAATCTATTATTTTGCTCACTATGTGCTTTCTCCAAGATCTCTGGATAATCCTTGCTGCCTCTTCTCTATCAACAACTTTTTTCCTTGCTGGTTCTTCTGAATCAGCTGTACTGGCCCGTTGCTGGACACCTCCAGTTGGTGATAATCCTCCATCTGTGGTAGGAGGGGGTGGTCGTGGAAACACTGGTCTCAGTAATATAAAACGCCACCACCTTTGGATGAGAGTAGCACAGAATTCTGTGTATGACATCAGTCTACATAATGGGCCTTGTTGTGCCACTGTTTTCTCACAGTATTCCTTATATTTATTCTTTGTGATTGGCAAGGCATTGGTAGGAATTTGGTTACCCTGTGAAAATTTGACAAGGCATGTTTCAGTTATTAAAATTACTATTGAAAATTCTTCCCTGGCTACATGATAACAATATGATTAATTCAAAATAAATTTCAGATTCACGAGAAAACTTAAAAAGACGTGTTTTGGCATGACTCATGCCATCATCAGTTAAATTTGTTGAACTGATGACTTTGTTTTCACATGTTACATGTAAATTTATATTTAAGACTAGAGCTAAGAAATTTCTGTTAGAGTTATGAGTACTTTGATCTGATTATTTCTGTCTCTCCTGTTTTCTGGATGTTACATATGATTGTGTTGGACAGAGATACCTTAAATATCACTTTGTGGTAATCTCTTTTATTGAATGATCTACAGATACTTCTACATCATAGTACTATTTATCATTAATAATTATTTTAGTTTAGTTATTTTGTATTGTATATGCCATGAATTGCAATAAATAAAAAATAAATAAATAAATATGATATAAGTTTAGATCAGATACAATACATGTATTTGAAATTTATATAATTTATTTATTTTAAAATAAATGGTTGAAGTAAACAATAGAACCTACAAATGTTACACTTACCAAGTAAATCTATGTGAACAAACAATCACAGTTAAGTTACATCAGAGCATTCAGCTCTGCTTGCAAGCAGCAAATGTACAATGTCTTCTTGAATTTTAAGCAATTTAAATTGAAGGAGACATTCTACAAGTGTTACATTTGCATATGCTATTGTTTTGACCATTGTAATTTCAAATATTGTATTCAACTTAAAGTTCTAATGTACCTGTAACATATATGTTAAGCAACTTAGTCAACTGTGTTTCCAAAATTCATTTTAAATACAATAATAGTTATAAGAATTAGATTAAAGGGAAGGTCTTCTTGAACCATTAGCTTCACTTCTGGTGGTCTCTATGGAACACCCCCTGCAATACTTCTTATCAAAAATAAACAAACTGAAACCCCGTTCACACCAAAGCTTCAACATGGTCTTACAAAAGCTGATTTGTTAAACACCATTTAAAACTCTTTTCTTCAAAGAAGCTCCTAAAACCAACATTTGTCAACTCCAAATCAGGCACATCCAAAATGCAGGTTTAGTGACTTATTCAAAACCTACAGAAAACTCAGTTTTTCACTTCTCTTTTCCTGATGTTTGTTCAGTTAAACCCAATTTAACTAAACATGTTTTACTAGTGTGAATTGGGTGTTGGTTACTGGTCAGATGTTTTTGGATAGTATGTTCAACCCCTCCAGTTCTTCTTAACTAGAGTAATAAGCAATTTTTCAGGTACAAAAATTAATAAATCATGTTTTAAGCTGTGGACAAGGTAAGAAGTGATGGACTAATTTTCACAGACTAACTGACATTGCACTTAACCTGTAAAAATCAGTTGATAATTTCTTTTTTTCCAGTTGTTACTGCTTTCAGATTGCCATTGCACAGTCAAGAACTTGATGGCATTTTAGAACACACATCGTTGGCAATCTCTGCCTCACCTTGAAGAGTCTCGATGGCTGTGGTGTGGTATGTGGAACCATAGGAGTAACGGTCCTTACATCACTTAGCCTTGATGGACTCTGCACAAATCTACTACCAAGGGCTGTGGACATCACACTTGCATTTGGATGGAGAATTCCAAACAGCTTACATCTTCATTTAACGAGAAAACATGGAATAAATAATCATGGGACATAATAATTACATTTTTCGGTACAGCTGGAAGTTTGTCACCAGATAATTTTTTGATTTGTAGCCTTGGCTCACAGTATGCAAGGGAGTAGCTAATAGGGTGGGGAAGGGGTTCTTGGGTGCCTGTGACTCCCCTTTCCCAATCCTTTGTAAGCCTTTTTTCCAGTAAAACATGGCATGGAGGATTCACAAGACAATCTGGTGAGTACCCTTTGTTTCACACAGAGTGACCCATCCTTTAAAAAGTCCTGGCCATGACCCTGGTATATACTATGATGTACAAAGAAAACATTTCAAAGATGTACTTGGTAAGGACCATCATTTTACCTTGTAAAATAACCTCTCCATACTCGCTGAATTTCTATGCTGGCAGCTATTTTTACATCTTCTTCATCTGTCTTTCCTTGAATCATTTTCTGTTGACAAATTTGTAGATATTCACAAAAAGTATGTAAGCCATATTTTGACCAGTGGAATACATAACATGTATTGAGTTGATCTTCAGGGCTTTAAGCTGCAACTAAACAGGGATTACAGATAAAGAAGTATGGAAAATTCAGCCCTTGACTGAGAGCAAAGAGCCAGGCACCCTAATTTGCCACTTTTGCAATGCAAAGCTTCAAAGCTTAGTTGGTAGTTGCACTCAATTGTCCATGTCTATATGAGCCTGAATTATTTCAGGCTTTTCATTCTGCAATGATGTACATTGCCTATAACCTATCATAATCAATTTATCATTTGGCAGTAAATATAAATATTGAATATAACAGCAATCCAGGTACCAGAAAGTTTAGAATAAATCAACTTTTGGTTTTGAGGTTTCAAAATCATGGGTTCTCCTAAGCTACACAGGACATCACAATTCTACTAATGAAACAAAATACAGCTTTGTATGTACACTGTGGTGGTGATCAAAGATTCCTCGTGGGGGTAAAAGACGAAAAAGAATTCGTATCAAATATTTTTTAACATCTATCTAGGGATATACGAGTATATTATTGGATGTCGTAAGAATATCCACCCTTACTCAGTTATAGTAAAACATTTGTATAGTGGGTTTTTCAGCAATTTATTGGATCAATGTTTTCAATGAAGTCCTGAATTTTCCTAAATCGATCTTCAAACTGAAACAACGTACAGTTTATGGCTCTAATCAAGGCTCGCAACTTTTTATTTCAGACTTTATCTATTTAGATAACAAACTTACCCATCTTTCCGCTTTTGTTGCCAAAGCAAACTTTACGTCTCTAGATATAGATCCTGCAATTAGTTGAATTTAAGAAAGTTGCTTAACTCAAGTTGAAAGCAGAAGTGTGAAAAGCTCACTTCAAGGTGCTCACCTTATAAGCCTACCTCATTAAAACTGTAAAAGACAGCTAAGTTTTCTTGTTGTCATTTCTTACTTTATGGAAATTACAATTTAAAATTACCTTTAGTATTTATTTAACAAGGCAAGAATAAACAAGAAGTTGGAAATTATGCACACAAACAATTATGTGGAATAACTTTGTCACCTGGTAAATCAGTTTTGCGCAGAATCCAGAGGGCATCTTGACGACTCAGTTTGTCAGACATGATTAATATTTTTACCTCTATCGCACTGGCTAATCAGAGTTGAATATCATTCTGAGCATTTCCAGGGAAAACTATCCTGACTTTGTGATAAATTGTTAGTCATTTCGACGCAAATTAATAGGTCTTCTCACGCCGTAGCAACAGAACAACCGCTGATTGTTTTGTGCGCGAACCGTGGGCAAAGAGGCTTAACTGTGTAGGGTAGGGTTCGTATTCATAAGAACATTCGTATAAGGAATCAATTGCGGACCTTTTCATGATAAAAATAAAGTTTTCAAGACAAGTAACTGAATATTTTTATATTATAATATAGAAGGAGAAATTTAAAAAATGTTGTCTTTGATGTGCATTCATTCTAAGACAAAAAGCAGTAACAACCCTCCCCTATCCCCACATAATTCCTACACAATCTGTTGACGCGCAATTTTTATTGCGAGAAAACTGAAAACAGACTGTGATGTGATGTGGTCAACGTGAGATGTGGCCCTGAAAGCTCCGCTGATTGTTGTCGAGTATTGACCTTCTGTTGTAGTTTTTGGTGAGAAATATTTATACAGTAACATTTAATCCAGGATATACTGAAATTACGTCAAAACTTTCGCCTTTCACTTAAAATATTTGACGGCTGAATTTCCTGTTCTCTGAATGTTTTCGCCTCTGATTCTCTACCCTGGACGGAGATTTCCCATCTATCATCAAGCATGCATCATTTAAAAGGCTTATCGTGGGATTCTCGCATCTGATTTACTTCTTTCGATTTTTGGGGGGGACAACAAGCGGGGATTTGGAAAGGGTGGGATCCTTATTTTAAAAAATCTCTTGTAAATCTCCGCACCCTCCCAGTAGGCAAATGCTCTTCCCTTTACTTCCTTCCTTTTACCAAAGGATCGGAGCCAGCGGTTCTTGTGTAGTGTCAGGTACTCCACCACTATCACATAAAAAGGACCTGTAATGGAGTTTTGCAAGATTACTGAGTGATCATGTTTTCTTTAGGTCAGTTTTCATCACTGCAATGACTACCAGTCTACAAATTAAGAGAGGAATTCCTGAGACAGATGACTTGCTTCACATTAGCCATGCGATGTCATCCAGCTGGATGGAATTGGCAGAAGTGTTAGGATTTCATGAAGCAGAACTAGCTCAGCTCACATTAGATTATCCTGACAGCTTTGAACAGTGCTATCAAATGCTTGTGAGGTGGTTACACAAGGGAGGATCACAGGCTAATTATGAGGTGTTGGCTAAAGCTTTGAAACATCCTCTTGTGAACAAACAAGATCTCGCTTTACAATTTTGTTTCAAGACGAAATGCTTCACTCTGTAGGTTGTCCTCACTAAACATGACAACAAAAATACAAAAATAAAAACTTTACAAGGTAACAGATGAACTGTTACCCCAGAAACTTCTCTTAGAATACAGCAACATCAATTATATTAAAGATTCAGGGGACTTCACTTTTGTAGTAAAATTGAATTCACAATTGATAACTAGTGTAGCACAGGGAAGTCTTGAGAAAAAATTCAAAAATAAGGAGTTAAAAAAATGAGGAGTTACATAGTATGGCCCAACAGCAAAAACGGCATTTGATCTCTTTATTTATTTATTTAAAATTCTCTCTTTTTCACACTGTTCTAAAGATAATAAATAAAATTGTTTCTGAGTTTACATAAAACCACACAAGGAGAACTTTATGAAGTCCTTTTCAATACTCTTTTTACAAGTTGTCCAGTGAAAATCTTAATTAACAAAATAGGAGCTCTTTCGTACAGAGATGCAAGTTATAAATTAAATTTGAGAAATGGGCTGTCTTCTATGGCTACTATCTCCTTTGGTAACCTTATTCAATAAACTAGACAAACAAAAAGCTTCGTAGGACTTCTTGGGGGAAATCAGAATCCAATTTCCCACAAAGGAATGTCTCTCCTTGCTATTCCCTGTCAATCCACGCAAGAAATAAGTTAAAATCATAATGTTGACAGGCAGAAAACTTACATATATGTCTTGGTATGCCCCCAATATTTTCACACGAGGACTGATAGTTATATGAAAGGTTGTTATGTATTTATAACATTTTGTATGGGATGAAATTGAGGACAATGTGATGCATTGTCATTCTTGAATGATATTACTATACACACCATCTGTGAATAAGATTGGTTTGAAGGTAGAGATCCACATGTATACTGTAACAATTTCCTTCAGTATAGCTGTGTTAATGCAATAAAAAATTTGTAAGCAAGCGGATGGTTTTTGTCGTTGAATGACACAACTTCTTCACTGTTACCTGTCTAAAATTTAGTTTAAAGCATGTCGATCCCAGTCTCTGTCTACAAGACTGGTGTGAGCATCATGCTTGTTAATTACTAGGCAACTCCAACGGAACAAGGTCTGTATGGTGCGACTTAACTCTGTGAAGAAGGTGCTGCCCCACAGGGACAAACTGGCTTTCCCACATTTCTCTTAACATGTCTGGAAGGTTTGATTCCACAGCATCTAATTCACTTGAATCAAGGGCAATATCCTCATCTGAAAAACAGTTCAACAAAACAGAATTGATCTCATTGGTGATTACTTAACTTGTGTTTTAATTTGTCATCTGTTAAATGGCCATTGTAACTAAACCCAATTTCAAAGGATGCTTTAGAGTCACACTCAAATTTGTTCTCAAAAGATCCTAACCTTCATTACATCTTTGTATGTTCAACATTACAGTAAACTGTATAAGTTTGTACTCAAGCTAAGTGGCCCAACCTGAGCCTATCCTGGTTTTCATTGCATGTAGTGACCAGGAGTATTATTACTCCTCCCTCACAGTATACCCCTGGATGGAGAGAAGCACTGAGAAAGTAAAGGTTTTCACCCAAGAACACAACACAATGATGCCGCAAGGTCTTGAACTTCAGACCTCCTCCTCAGAGTTCAGCCTAGTAACTATTACACCACTGCATCTCTGAAAAATTAACTCCCGTACTGTCTTATACAATTCACAATCCTTACCTAAATATTGTGCGAGAATGTCCATTAATTCTAGTGCTTCCTGGTCACCAAATGTTTCTGATGAGCTGGTTATCTTGTCACTTTGAAATGAGAAGAAAAAAAAAGTAATAAAATATTGAAAACTGTATTCTTTACTTTCTTGGTCATCACAAGCTCAGTTGTGAAAAACAAAGCAAATAAAATTTCAGGTTTTGCTTCTATTATTACTATTAATAAGTATGAATGGTACTAATGGACCTACCTATAGTTCCACAGGATCTGGCACACCATACTTGACAACTGCCAATCATGTTTACCAAAGTCACGCAACACATCAACCAGTCTGAGAGGTAAAAACAGGTTATCCTCGTATTAGTCAGGTTATGAAAAATTTTAAAGGATGCCACAACATGACTGCAATTAGGAGAAGACTCTAAATTGAACAACTTACTTTTTAATTCCATCTTCCTCTTTCAGCTTTGGTTTGATATTCTCATCAATCATCAGGTTAATTAGCACACCGCAGGCTGTGAACACTGTTTCCCTCTCGCCAGCATCCAATAGAGCAATCATGATTTCATCAACTAAATAGTCAAAGGTGGTGAAAAGTGTAACATCAGAGAGTGATCTGTAAAACTTCAACAACTAATGTGGACAGAAAGGTCAAAAATCTCTGTCATACTTGAGTAAGATAAGATGTCAACTTTTACCTTTTTGCTCTGCCAATAAAGTTCTCACTTCTTTTGTTCTAGAAAAGTTCCCAAACACACGAGTTGCTTCCACCATTGCATCCATGTTCTCCGGCATTAACAACGAAATTAGCACTACCACAGAGTGAGAGAGAGAGAGATGTTAAAACAATGCAAGAAAATTATACATCATACATAAACATCAACCACATGAGACTTGGAACTACATATTTAACCCTTTAAGTCCCACTAGTGACCTAAACAGAATTTCTCCCTACACTACTGGTCCAATATTTTTAAGTAGACTTATAAGTAGTAAGAATTTAAAAAAATATCAATTGGGGATTACTGGTTCATCCAATTTCAAATTCTCCAAACTAACATCATATGACTGGCAGTGTGGCAGACAGAAAGAAGAATTACTAATGATATCTTGGGAGTTAGAGGGTTAAGGCACTCTCAACAAAAGCACAGACCACATAAAAAAAGGAATAGAACAAAACCATATTTGCTTGTTTGAATCCAATCCACACAGCACAAATGATTTTCTTAACTTTAACTGTCACTATTCTGTGACTTTTGATGATTTCAAAAATAAGTTAAGGGGGTGCATTTCTAAAGGAACGTGGTGCTGCATCTGTTGGGGGAGGGGAATATAAGATAATTTGAATTTGTCAACTGAGTTGATAATGGTAACTAGCCACCCTAAAAAGTTTCTAATAAACAGCTGTGAATATATGAAAGTCATATATTTGAACTGCAGATAAAGACATGAATATGAAAGCGATCTTCACCAGCTTCCAGTTGGCTTGTAAGCTCAATTGGTAGAGCACTGTACAGTATCACAGAGGTCATGGGTTCAAATCCCGTACAGGCCTGAATTTTTTTCAGGCCTTCTTTTCACTACTGCTTAAGAAGTGTTCATAACTGCAAAGATCACTTCATTCAAAGTTTCTTAAGATGACATTTCAAGCATTAGTCCTTCATCTGGATGAATAATTTGCTTTGATGATGGGCTAACACTCAAAGTCAGATTTAGACACTCTTTACAATAGCCAATTTCTATTTTCAACATGGTTGATATTAGACCAAATTATACTTGTATTTCAAATAGTTAACTTACTCTCTGTGATTTCAACTTGTCTCTGCTGTACAACACTTTCAGCACTATTGTAGTAAGACAGATTGTTCAGAGTTGATACTGTGTTCAGAACAAGTTCTTCGCTGACAAGTGCATCCTTTACATCTGTAAAGATCCAAAGAAAGTAAGAGATAATCCTATTGACAAACACCTGATGAAAAAGGGGTTGGCATGATTAAAGGTTATACCTTTTCTCCATTGAGTGAACTCACCAAGAATCTGGATTAAAAGGTCAACTAATGCTTCATTAGCAGCAATCCCTGCACCAGCCTCTGCATTGATTGATAAGTTGGCAATTACTCTGATAGCCTGAAAGTTGAATTTGGTTCAATAAGATG